AAATCGTTGCTTGCAATGACCGCGCAAGCTGAGCAGCACTCACTACTGCGACTCGAAGTCTGAATTTCCGAACGGTCGGTGCACGACGTAATCTTGACAAGAGGAGATCGCCGTGCCGAGAACCCATCGACGGATGCAATTGCAGGCACGTTGATATTCATTTCGTTGAACCAATCATCAGCAGGAGGCCCGCACGTTGCACGCGCAACCCCATCAGAGTGGTTCTGACGCAATCGCAACACCTGAGGGGCCCCCCATGCATTGTAAGCGAGCTCCAGGACTGGGGCGGGCATTTTGAAGCCAAGGATTTTACTTCTCAGCGGGACGATGGGGGGGCAGCCTCATAAATTTTGGGGTAGGCAACACATACGAGGATGTGGTGGCGACTCGAAGCTACATCAGCATTTGCTCTCGCTGCTTGCGCCCACGCGCAATCCACCGAACTCCCCCGATGCCCCCCCACCCCCCTGTACCCACGCTCCACCTTCTCCAGATATGACTTTAGCATAGGCCCCCATCAGCCTTTGCCAAACCCGATGCATGCCAATTGTAAACAACGAGAAACCTGCGGCCCACGGTGGGCTTGGGCAACATAAACCCAGAGCAACCGCTTGGGCAATAACCCAGTAGCTGCATAGCACTACCACAAGCCCGCCAACACTTCAAGCCCTTCACAATCTAAAAGAAGGAAGTTCATGGGATGACAATGGTCCATGGAACGGAGTGTTGATCCTGAAAAATTCTGGATACGTTGGCGAGACTCCCCAGGGGACGCCCTAGGAAAATTCGTTCGATCAGATATTCACGCAGCTGGATGGCTCGGTTTCAATCGCAAGAGCTTCTGATACACTTGCAGCTCGTGTAGCATTACACTAGGGGTCAGCACTGGAGGCCCTCGAGTCCTGAACAACCGTGGCAGACGAGACACTGCGGGCACGAACGACCCGATGCATGCCCCCAGCACCTCCCATGCTAGCGGTCTTGCACCAATCGCTCCAACTAGCTTGGATATGTTTAGCCCCACCTTTGACAGCTATCTCAACATTCACAGAGGTCCCGTCAAGATACTCACCTGTTCACGCGTGAGTTCGTAGGCAGTGAGCTTGTCAAGTCTAGCATTGGGCCCAAGACCCAAAGAGTTGCGATAACAAGAAAAACCGAGAATTCCGAAATCTTAGTTTCTTGAGTGGCATCAGACATGTTGCCAAGGTCAGATGGTCGGCCTAGATGCTACAGGCCTTTACGCAAACATTGCCAACCTTCGGCGATTACACTATCATCACACTCTGGGACAGGATAAGCCACATTAATCCAGCGCGGTGCAAACGGGCGCCCGAAAGTGACAAAGTCACAATTGGCTACCCTCATGCAGGATCGAATATGACGGGCAGCGAGCTGCGCAAATGTAGCCCACCCCACGGTCGGCAAAGTATGCACTATGCCAGGGTCAGCCTCATCATCGTGCGCCAAGCCACTGCACCTCTCGACAGTTCCCCGCACCATGTCTGAAAAGGGCATGTAGTGGGCAAAGCAGGAGCTACTGTATACACTAAATGCTGAACCTTAACTCCTTGGCAAGCTATCGACAGCTGCACCGGGCGGCGAAGTCAACTAGTGCAACTTGTGCCGAATTTAACGTTATTTATTGAAGGCACGCGCGCAGGGATCATTACAACCGACTAAGTTAATCACCGAATTTCCGTTCCCCCACGACAAGTGTGCAATTTAGTGGCTACCAGTGTGAGCCCAGCAAGCGCAGAGACCCACGTTCTCTACCTCATCAGGCGACATACTCCTGTTACCTCCTATAAGACATGGGCCCTCAATGCCACATAAGGGCACCAGCAGCTTCCATGAGTGTAGCACCCTTGCTTCGTGGCCTTTTGCACGGACGGAGATAGAGGTTGAGGAGGTGGAGGGCAGGCCATCCTAGGATCGAGCTGCACGCGATGCACTCTACGTCCGCACACTTGATACCCACCCATTTCTGGCGGCTTGAAGCCACAATCGCATCGCACAAAGGTTGCTACACTTGCACTCGGGACGTGACCTGCAGACGGGCACGAGGGCAACGCCATGAGGCTTTCCACCCTCGCACTTGCCCCCACGAATGGATGGCTTCCACATGGTCGGCAACGTGCCCACAATCTTGAATTATTTCGACGAACGCACAAGTGGCCTTCAACCAGTTCTTCGAAGTCGCTTTTCCACCGCTAAAGTGAAAAGTCTCGGCGACATGCTTACCTGAGATCAAAGCTCCAAATGGCTGAGAGGGCAGGAGAGCATTGCGACGGAAACCAGTGATCACGGGCAGCAAGTTCCATTGCTCCTCACATTTGCGTGCACAACGTGTTGGAGCACCAGCTCCGTGACCAGCTGGGCGCGGCGCTTTGGCACAGGCGCCATCAGCAGGCGGACTTACTGGAGAGTTGGGTCGCAAGCTTTGTCGCATTTTGCCGCCATGACGATTTGCGCAACGCAGTTGACCACGAACATTGTCAGCAGCCTCAGCATCACATATCAGCAACCCATCCCCGCTAGGAACACCGGTGTCGTTTGAGATGTAGCTCGGCCATCTTAGCTTTGAATGCCTCGAAGTCTGCCGATTGTCCTGATTCAAAGAGTGCCTCCAGCTTACCTGGCTGAAGATCATCAATGTTCCGTTTCTCACTTTCGTTGGCGTCTGAATATGTTGCACAATCAGCCATGCCAACATCATTATCAACCTTTCGCGCAGGAGACGTCGCAGTCGCAACACAAACATTGTTGAGCACCTCTTGCCACGCAGCACGATTGAGGAATTCACCATGTCCAGCGCATTTCGTCTCCATCTCTGGAAGTTTGACGTGAGGATGCTGCGATTGGTTGCCGCCACCATGCTGGAGCTGGAGTAAGCCAGAAGCACGCGCCACTCCTTTGACCGCTCCAGCAACTTACATATTCTGAGCTTCAAGGTGCTGTCTCCGTTCTTCGATGGATGTCTGGAGTTGTTCGATGTCGTGTTCCGTCGTAGCCGATTCGTCAGTTTGTTGGGATAGTGCAAGGCGCGCGAGAGCCACGTCGTTGATGGCCCTGCGGTGTGCCGTAGTGGGATTACATCAACTCGTGATGTTGCCACGAATCGTACCAAAGTTCTATTTGATAGAGGCCTGTAGCACGTCGACATCGTTACTTTCGGGGCCACGCTTGGGCGAATCGTTGAGGTCATTCGTTTGCACAACAAGCTTTGCCCTCTTAGCACAATCCGAACTTGGAGCAGCATTTGAAGCAGCTTCTTCTGTTCTGGCCATTTGATATGCACTCAATGCGCACGCGTAGGTCTGCCATCCTTCTCCTGATCAGACAACTCACTCCGTCCAAGTGCTTTGAAAATCATACGAAGCTGACCCTGCACTCGGGCCAAAGCTGCCCTACCTGTCTCTTTATCGTTGTCCGCAGATGCTGTGCATCCGTTCCCTCCGCATTGGGACTGCTGGGCAAGATGCTTTTTTTGCGCCTCGATCGCACGTTGGCGAATGAAACCTGGAGTTGCGTTCCCGCACCTGCGACGAATGCGATTGGCCCAGTCGTGGGCGGTGGTGCATCGCCCACAAGCCCATTCAGGACGACGAACCAGCAGCACACCATCGTCATTCGCCATGGACCGCTCCCGCAGGAGCGACTGAAAAAGCACAGAAGGGCGGACCGTTTGCCTAAAGACTTGGATCGAACTGGAAGAAATACGCGCGAACGCGTTGCCGCGCTGAAGCACGTGTTCGCAACCCCTTGAGCATTTCAAGAGGGCAGCACGGCAAGAAGGAGGAGCAAGAGGGGGAGGAGATGGTGGGAGTAGGACCAGAAGGAGAGCAGGACGAGTGCAATAAGAGGAGGAAGACGTGCGGAAGAGTTGGCATGAGTCAGGCGTGGCTTAGCGAAGCGCAATGGATTGTTATGTGGTATAGTTGCGGTTCACGCGCCCATCGCCCGTATAATGTGTCTATAATTGACGCTCGATCCCGCCTCCTCATTCTTTTCGTGGAAGGGCGCGTACGTTCAGCCGTCATGTCGCGTGGTGTTGGTGTGCGTAGCGTATCCGTCGAACTTAAGAGAAATCGTGGTACGCTCCGTGCTATATAACTGATCCTCGTGTTTCACGTCATCTTCGCTGGTATGGTAGGCCAGCAGCACCGACGTGTGCTTAGCAGAGCGGGGCAGAGAGCAGCGCGGACGTGCGTTCGGCCAGGAAAAGCAGCAGTGCCTCCCGATGCGTGCCGTGCGCACGTGTGCGCCGCAACGCGGCACGCTGCGAGTAGCAACATTTTCTGGAAGGAGGTTCCTCGAGGGCGAGGTGGGGAGCGGAGAGCGGAGAGCGCTTACTTGTCTCCCCATTATCTGATCAGCATCGCAGCCCTCCCTCATGCGTCTCTTGCTGTTGCTGCTGCTGTTGCTGTGGGTGCTGCTGCTGCCGCTCTCCTCCTCTGTCAGTGTTGGGTGGGAACGGCGGTGCACCTCGTCACCAGACCTGGCAGCTAGAGAACGGCCCGCAGTCGCTTTGCACCAAGCGCTCTGCCTCGTTCCCCCCCCCTCTCCCAGGAATATGGTGGTGGGTCCACTTTTGCGGTTACCCCTCGAGGCGCGGGCAGCTCCGCGTCCCAGTCGGCCTAGAGACAACCACGAGTTCACTCGCATCGGCCCAGGGGTAAACACAAAGGCGGGCTCGCCGCAATTTTACGTAACTCGATTCCTGGCGGGCGAGGTGGGACAGAGAGCACACGCCGTTATCCTCATCCTCCTCCACCGCCCTTGTCTGTCGCGCTCAAACCCATCCTCCACTGACGTGCGCAACGCACCCTCCCTGGCCACAGCAAGCGTCGATGAGGGCGGATACCAAGGTGATAAGAGCTCTGGGTGGGACACTGGGGAAGGAGCAAACGGAGATGACGGGATGAGGACGACGGATGATTCAATTTCCTCCTCATCATCCTCCCCCTTCTGTCCTCCCTCACTCCCTGGCCCTGCAGGAGTGCGCCATCTGCCTGGCGGACTTCCTGCCCCGCGACATGCTGCGGACCCTGCCCTGCCCCGCCGCAGCGCAGGCCCCCGTCGGCGGGGGGGCAGGGCTCGCGCGGGCAGCTCCGCGCCCCCGAAGTCCTCCGAAGGCTTCCGCGGGGTCCCTTGAGGGGCCTCCGACCGCCGAGGACCTCCGATATGGTCGGGGCCGTACGGGGGGAGCCCGAGGCGTCTGGAACGCAGGGAACCGAAGGAGAAGGCCTCTCCCAGAGGGGGCCGGGTGCTCCCCCACAAGGGGGGGGGGGGTCGCAACCTCCGGGGCCCAGGCTCCGAAGGCCTCCGAGAGCCCCCCGAAGTCCTCGGAGAATGTCCGAGGGCCCCCCGAGGCCGCGCGGCCGCCGAGGGGCTCCGATATTCCTGCTCACGGCTCGAGAGAGAGAGAGAGGGTCGTGTTTGGGAAGGGGGCGGGGGGAAACGGACAAGGCAGACAACGACAGCAGCAACAGCAACAGTCATAGCCAGGCTGCTCGCTCCTCTGCGCTGCTCGCGTGTCATTCAACGTGTCTGCTCCCAGCCCTCGATACCCGCCCGCTGGGTCTTCGGTCGTACCCCTCCCCCCCCCGGGGGGTATATTTTTCTTGCTTGCAGCGTGTAGCTGGCGCGGCCTCTAAAGCAGGAGGAGGCAGGAGAAGGAAAAGGGAGAGAGTGAGGAAAGGATGAGGAAACGAGCGAGGAGGGGGCAAGAGGGAGGGAGGAGGATTGAGGGCGAAGAAGATCTGGCAGGAGGGGGAGGACAGAGGAGCCACGATTTCGGCAAGCGGGCCTTGACGGGCGGGTCGGGCGGGCTGGCCCTGGCGGGTCGGGCGAGTGGACGGCGGGAGGGGGGCAGGTCGGGCTTCCAGCAGGCGAGCGACGCTAACGGGCGGGTCGGATGGTTGGACTCCAACAAGCTGGTCGGGCGAGCGGGCCATGACGGGCGGGTCAGGTGGGCGGGGCATTGAAGCGATTTTTTTAATTGGGAAGAAGCTTCAGGCGAGAGCACGAATCTTGAGCAAATTGTGAGGAGTCATCATGCGAGAGCACGAGCGCTGGGCGTCGAGGGAGGCGCTTGAATAAATTGCAGGGACAGCCTGAGCGAGAGCGCCAGTCCTGAGTGAGTTGTGAAGCGATGTTGCGTACATTGTGGGGAAGTGTCAGGCGAGAGCCGCTGTTGCTGTAAGCGATGGGCCGACAACCCAATTTGAGCTTCAAGACCTCCTTTTGGGGGGGGCAAGCGCGAGACCCAAGGGGGGGCACGTCAATTGAACCAAGCAGTGGCCACGATTGCTATTCCTTCAGAAATGAGAGCTCAACAAGGAAAGGGTTTCCATGGGGACCTGCGATCGCCCAGCGGTCTCCCCACGGGCCAGCCAGCCGCCCGCGCCCCGGGTTCTCGGGCGCCGCGAGCAAAAAAACAAAACATCATGAGCGGTTGTTCGACGACGTCGACGTCCTAGTCCCGTTTGCGAGCCGCGGGGCTTTCCGAAGCAGCCAGCGGCGGGGGACGAAAAAGTGCCTCCGCAGGATGGTAGACAGCTCCAGGGCCCACATCGCAGGAAAAGGATAATGTCGGAGAGTTGGGGCCCCGCCCTGACGACGAGGGCTTTGGTTCGGGTCACCGCGTGAACCGCCATCAGGGGGTCCCCAGAGGCTGTCGACAGGCTTCAGCCTTTGCAGGCCTCACCCGTGCTGCCGCCGAGTCCGAAACGGCGCGAGCCTACCGTCGTCGAGTTTTGCATTCGTGGCACGGCTGTGGAGATGGAGGTCGGATCCGCAGGAAGCCCATAGAAACATCCACGGCCTCTTTTGGTCATGACTGGCGTGCTTCCCACCATCCATATTTGGGAGGTGCGCCCTTGGCTTTAGCCCCTTGGTGAAGGCTTCCCTTGTCGTCGCCGCCTCGAAAACTTGATCGGGATGTTGTTGGCCGTTGTTTGTTCTCTCTCTTTCTCTCTTTCTCTATTGTTTGTTCTCTCTCGCTATCTCTCTCTCTCTCTCGCTCTCTTACACGTCTTGCCTCCGCTTCCCTTCTGCTCCCTCGTACTCTGCATGCTGCTTCAGCTCAGATATTTGCAGCACGGAGTGTCAGGTTGGGACCCCGCGGTGTCGTTTATCCGCGGTACTGTCCAAAAACATAATAAGTGCCAATGTACGATGTCAGCATCGACTGCAGAGAGTTGTGGAGCGCTCGAGGGAAGCTCAGACCGTCTCCTCAACTTGCGCGTCGCCGAGAGATGCGAGGTGCGTTTGTCTTCCCGGAGGAGCGGAAGCTGCGGCAACCATGCGTGCAGCTGGAGTGTTACTCGCGCAAAAGTGGCCACGTCGCCATCGACGAGGTGCTCACGGACAGCATCAGCTACTCTAGATTTCGTAATAAAGGGAGGGGGGTCTCATTTCGGGGGGGGTCTCTTCCAGGCTATCTTGGAGGGCCTGGGGGGGTCTGGGGACGACGTTTTGGAGGGTTCTCCCACGGGGGGGGGTCCAAAACTATTCGTCTGGGAGGGTTGAGACCCCCTCCCTTTTCAGAACGAAGTCTGGAGTAGCTGGAGTGTTACTCGCGCGAAAGTGGCCACGTCGCCATCGACGAGGTGCTCAACGGGCAGCAGCCGCCAGTTTCATGCTCGCCCCCTACGGGACACAGGGCCCGGCAGGAGCGCCGAGCGTGTGTCGTGCGTCTCATTCTTAGGCGAAGGAGGAGGAGGAGGAGGAGGAGGAAGAGGAGGAGGAGGGGGAGGAGGAGGAGGAGGAGGAGGAGGAAGAGGAGGAGGAGGAGGAGGAGGGGGAGGAGGAGGAGGAGGAGGAAGAGGAGGAGGTGAGGTGCACGGCGGGCAGCAGCAGGCTCTGATCGTCTCGACGGGCTCGTCGGCTCTATATCACGCGCCTGCTGGCGTTTGGTGGGCACTCCAGATTTCGTAATAAAGGGAGGGGGGGTCTCATTTCGGGGGGGGGGTCTCCTCCAGGCCATCTTGGAGGGCCCTGGGGGGGGTCTGGGGACGATGTGTTGGAGGGTTCTCCCACGGGGGAGGTCTGAAATGGCTTGTCCTGGAGGGTCCAGGCCCCCTCCCTTGTATTACGAAATCTGGGGTACCGTTGAGCCTACCCCGGCCCATTCAACGCGCTGTGGCTTCAGGGAGCAAGGCTGCCTCGCACGGGCGGAAGGCCCTGGCCACAGGGAGGATACTCGGTGGGCGCGATTGTCTTGGGCCTAGGATGGCAAGTGCCTCATCCTCGCCCTCCTCCTCCTCTTCCTGGGCTAGGCCCGTGAAGAGGAGGGGGCGGGAGTGGAAGGGCCGACGTGGTAAAAGGGAGAAGCGAACGTGAAGGGATGGTGGAGGGGTGAGGATGGGTGGGAGGAGCAGGACATGGGGGAGGAAGAAGACGACGGCGAGGTGGACGAGGAGAAGCAGGAGGTGAAGCGACGGAAGGGAGAGCTCGAAACAGCAGCGGGAAGACGTCGACCTGGTGCCGCTGGGAGCCGCCCTCTGCCCGCGCGGAACACGGCAGCGTGTCGTGCACGCCGCTGCTCCAGGGCCACTCGCGCTCGGTGGGAGACAGTCCCGCCTGGGGGAGGAGGGGGAGGGGGAGGAGGAGGAGGAGGAGGAGGAGGAGGAGGAGGAGGAGGAGGAGGAGGAGGAGCCCTGCACGCCACTGCGTTTCTTCGCCCTCGGGGCAGCGATGATCACGGGGCTCGGGCGCCCCCAGGGGTGCCAGGAGCGGACGTGCCTCCGGGCACGGTGGGCCCCGGCAGCGCCAGACAGGCGTTGGAGGCCGGCGAGCGCCGGCGGCACCCGACGCGGCCCCGCGCGCGCGCGAGGGGCACAGCTTCCACTGCGGCTGCGTGGACCCGTGGCTCCGGGGGAGGGGGCGGGGCTCGAGGGCGCACGCTTGGGAGCATCGAGCAGGGAGTTCTGGCACGGCCGAGCTCCTCAGACACTCCTCGGCGCGGCGAGCCCCGAGGGCACCTGGGCGGCTGTGCGAAGGGCGGGAGCATTTCCGCCTCGCTTCGGTTCGGTGAGGTTCCGCGGCAATCTTCGGTTCGGCTCGGTGGCGTAGATTTTCTGGCTCGGCTCGGCTCGGCGTCGGGAACTGCACCGTCCGGTTCGGCTCACATGCTTGTCGTTCCGGTGCGGCTTGGTTCGTAGATGGCTAGCCCAGCCCAGCTCGATTTTGCAGCGTGTCTTGTTCGGCCTGGTCTGTTCCTCCGAATCCTCCACGACCCTTCCTTTTCATAAATACGTGAGTGCAAAGAGCGGGAGTCACGGAGGGCCCCAAAGAGAAATTCGCACACAGATTTTGCAATCAGTGGATGTTCGGGTTATGGTTTTGATGAGGGTCGGTACCATTCATCGCAACTCGTCTCAGGGCCATCATGGTGTCCCTTAGGCGGGCAGGCGGTCTCAGAAGCTAGCTGGCAGCCTCCAGGGTCCAGGGGCCACGAAGTGCGCGAGGGGTGCGCAAAGTGGGCGCTCCCATGAACCGTCTGAGGGGTCAGCTGAGGGCCCCTTGCAGCCCATGGGGCACGAAGTGCGCGAAGGGTGCGCCGAGTCGAGGCTCCCATGAGCCGTCTTGGGGACCATGGATCCCCCCATGAAGTCCATGAGCACGAAATACGTACAGGGTGTGCCGAATTCAAACGCCAAGGAGCCGTCTTTGAGGCCAACCGAGCACCCATGATGCACGAAGTGCCTGAGGGATGTGCCGAATTGAAGCCTTCGTAACCTTCGGAGTGCATTTCGCTAGTATTTCTACGTGTCCCAGGCGGGTTAAGGAATTCGCCCTTGTCGGGACTGCGGAATGCGCGAGGCCGCTCCCGGCATACACTGACTCTCACCCGTTAGCACGGCCAGGGCCAGCAGAGAGCTTGCATAATTCAATCGCTTCGCTCACTCCGCCAGCCCATCTTGTAGCATCGTTGGCATTTGCCTGTGAGCTCGCAGTGGCATTTTCGGAGCCTCGTGGGGCATTTTCGGAGCCTCTTGGGAGCCTCTTGGGGCCTCGGGGGGATCTTAGTGGAGGCTTCTGGGGGGCATTCTTGAAGCCTCGGATGCCATATTTGTGGAAAGGGCCCAACTTGCGAGTCCAGATTCCCCCTCTCGGAACCTCTTGAGAGCTTCTGGAGCCCTCTTGCGAGGCCTCTCGTGCCGTCTTGGGGTCTTCTTGGGCCGTTTGAGGGCCGTCCTGGGAGCCTGTTGGGCTGTCTTGACCCTATCCTGAGGCCTCTTGGGCCGTCTGCGGCATTCCAAAGCTCGAAAAGGCGGTGACGCAGGAATCGCTCAAAGACCTGAGCAAAACCCATGACATTGATCCTCTGGGGACTCTCTCGGCGCTGCCTGGGATCACCTTGTGGATACCCAGGGGCATTCTGGAGACCGTCTTGGGGCGACCTTGGGGCGTCCCACCCGCTTCCTCTTGGCGCTTGGGCCCTCTTGGAGCTCCACGGGGGTCCCCCGGGGGCGCTCCTGGGGAGATCTCGAGGGCCGGGACACCGCCCCTGGACGCTCTGGCAGCCGTGGCCAGAGTATGCAGGCGTATGTTTCGTTCGGGGACCTCCTCCTCCTCCCCCTCCTCCTCCTCCTCCTCCTCCTCCTCCTCCTCCTCCTCCTCCTCCTCCTCCTCCTCCTCCTCCTCCTCCTCCTCTCCTCCCCTCCTCCTGCTCCTCCTCCTCCTCCTCCCTCCTCCTCCTCCTCCTCCTCCTCCTCCTCCCCCTCCTCCTCCCTACTCTCCCTTGGGGCCGCCCCGCGCGCGAAGAAGTGCCAGAGATCTTCGCACGCCTTCGGCCCGCTCTTTGTTCTCCACAGCCAGTTTCAAACATAGTCGTCCCTTGTCGCACCACCGAACGCCGTCCGTAGGCCAGTCCTGGGCGTTTCGCTCGAGATTTCTCGACCGCTCATTACCATGAAGCTACAAGAACTCCACCAGCTTTAATGACGGAGAGCTTCTTATTTCGAAATGAAACTCTCGCGGTAGTGCCGCGCAGATTCTCTTTAAAGATTATCACAGATTGATTGAGGGTGGATGTTTTTTGACGCGGTTATCCGCCCATTCGGTTCAAAAGTCTGCAACGGTTTCAAGGGTGTGAAGGGCTTGTCGTTTTCAAAACGGGGCTCTCCGCATAGCACCGCGCGCACTCATCTTCAAAGTTTGTCACAGGTTCAAGGATAGAGGCTGGCTTGTTTTCAAAATGCGGGTTGCGGCCAGGGGTGCCACTGGAGTGTTCCTCTAGGTTGTGCCGATGTGTGGCGCCAATTGCACAGGGGCGGTGCGGCCACAGGTTGCGCCCATGGGCTGCGGCCAGGGAGGCCGTCAAGTTTGATTGGTTTGCAATGCTTTGCATTCGTTTACAGATCTTATCTTGCACTATTTCGCTGCCAGGGGCCCATGATAGAATCAAAGGGGTCAATATCATTAGCTGTGGCCGCCGCTTTAGCTTAGGTTCCGCTGGGTGATACTTACGGCGCTATTGGTGGAACTACAGCCGCCGATACAAAGATTGCAAGTGCAGGTGGAATCACCACTGCTACTGCGATGGCCTTTGATAGTATTGCCATTGATACCATCCGTCACTGATTACGTCATTGTGCTAGTTGCTTTGTCGTGAACTTCCCAGTGCTAGCCCAATTACTCCTACTCTGACTGATACTGCTGCTACTGGCACCACTATTATTACAGATGACTATATGACTACTCGTGCTGCTAATGGTTGTTCTGCTCTGCATTGTAATGCGCTCCTACGTCCCAATCGCAATAGAAAGGCCAAGAGTGAGCAGGTCCACGTCTGTCCGTCCCTTGCCCTTTCATCCACCTCTCCTCCCTGATCTCGCCGCGCCGCAGGGTCTGCGTGGATTTCGGCAAAATCGCCCGAAACCGCGCCATCGCATGAGCATTATACGCGTATCGCGTATCGACATAGCGGGAACACCGAGACCACAAAAAGCGAGGATGCCAGACCCAATGAACACCATCTTCCCTGGGCCTAGCCCGGCGTCTGTCTTTTTTGATTACTCCAATGCCCCACTGTCTCCACTCATCATTCCCTCACGTGCTTATGCAGAGAACATGTCAATGAGTCTGAGGTTCTTGATCTGGACCAGATTCACACTCGACTACACTGTTGACCGGAGGTCATTGGGTGAGACCGGGTGAAGCGGAGTCCCCCCAGCGGGAAATCGGTTACGGCTTCGGTTCGTGTCGTGCGTGATATGCGTGCGGGCGGGGCAGGCGAGGCGAAGTTGCGTGAGTTCTTGCCCTAGCTGGGCCCAGGTGAGGACAGTTGGGAGGACATTCTGTCCCGCGGTTGCATTGTGGTTGTCCCGTGGTTGTCCTGTGGTCGTCCCGTGGACGTCCCGTGGCTATTTTGTGGTTGTCTGTAATTGTCCCATTTGGTCGTCCCGATGGTTGTCCCGGCTTGGTCCTGCGATTGCCCCGTACTTTGGTTCCGAGAAAGTCCCCCGTTTGTCCCGTGGTTGCTTCGTCTGTAGACAGATGGAAGGCGAGACCGATGGGCAGATAGTGAGATATAAAGATGGATATACCGATGGTGAGATGACACCGGCATAGAGAGATCCTAAGCACAAGCGCTCCATGAGAAGACACATGGTCGGCACAGCAAGGCAATGCGTTCGCATTCTGAAAATCAGGCATTGCGCGGCACGTCTTGCATTCTCAGGGCACATCACATCAACATGTTCGCTGGTTCGAAATCAAGCACGCCAACGCACGCGGGCACGGCACGGCACGGCAAGGCTCTCGCACCCTCGAAGCCAAGCACGGCACGGCACGGCACGCTGGCATTGCACGGCACGGCGCGGCAGTGTGTCGCCCTTTCGGACCTAAGCACGGCACGGCACGGCAATTTTCTGCATTCTCGAAACCAAGCACGGCACGCGTGCCCGGCACGGCGTGGCATTGTAGACGTTGGAAGTCTCAGAACTGCGCACGGCACGCGGACATGGCACGGCAACGTTCTTGCATGTCGGAGACCAAGAGCGGCCCGCGGACACGGCACGGCACGGCAAGTCCTTGCCTTCGAAACCCAGCAGGACACGGCACGCGGACACGGCACGGCACGGCATCTGCTGTCGCATTCTCGCAACCAAAGCACGGCACGGCACGGCAACTCTGCCGCTGCCTCGGCACCGAGCACGGCGCGCGACGGCCCGGCACGACAACATGCTCGGCACGACACGGCACGTTTGCACGGCACGGCAACGAAGCAAGGCACGCGGGCATATCACGGCACAGCATGCGGGCGTCTTCGCCATGTGGAGTCGAACCGTCATGTGGGATCTCTTACGGCAATCGCTGGCCAGTGAACCTCCACGTGCACAGATTCCTTCCTTGCCTTTTTTCCCCACATCCTAAGTGGGGTTCTTGTTTTCTCTGCACACCCTCCGCGCAGGATCTCTCATCCTCCTCCCTCTCCTCTGCTCCTCTTTGCTTCCTCCTCCGCATCATCATCACATCACCATCACTCCCCACTCATCATCATCATCATCATCATCATCACCATCAGCATCACCATCACCATCGCACGATCACTCACCATCATCGGCATCGAACGATCATCATCATCATCATCATCATCATCATCATCATCATCATCATCATCATCATTACTCGCTGACTCACCACTTCGTCCCCATCATCATCACCACCATTTACCATCAGAATTGCACGATCACTCACCATCAGCACTCATCATCACCACCATCATCATCATCATCATCATGTCGTCATCATCACCACCACCACCACCACCATCATCATCATCATCATCATCATCATCATCATCATCATCATCATCATCATCATCATCATCATCATCATCATCAATCATATATCATCGTCAA